GACCTGCACATCATCCAATATGAGGGCACAGTTAGAAAATATTTTTTTTAAGACTCAACATCGTTGCAATAGAAGTTCAAGCCCAAAACATTTTAGGGAACATCTTACTTTTAGGGTCACTTCGGTCCCAGATTACATGATATCTACAATCGGGACTCAAAGCATACCTTTAAGTCTTTAACTACACGGTGACATCCAGCATGTTGTTTTCATATAGTAGGAAACCATAGGCAAACTCATTAGATACTTACTTCTTTACTAGCAATTGTTAACGCAGCCTCTTTAGTTAAGTGTAAGCCATAAGCTGCCTTTCTAACAGATTTCTTCACTTCAGAATCAGACAATTCCACTCCTCCTGCAATTGCTTCCTTCACCACCTGGGGAAAACATTTGACAGGCAGTCACACAAATAAGCTCAAATGAACAAATGCAAAATTATACTGTATATGATTACAAAGCAGGAGGTAACATATTATATAATAAATATTTTTGTGAAAAGAACACAGACAGAAGCACCTATGAAAAGAACTGATATCAACATCTTATTTTATTTGCATTACATATTAACTTGTTCAGTAAAAACTCTAAATCTGGAGCGAATAATGTTTACATTTTCAAATAAAACGCCGCAGATTTCAGCATGCACTGTTTCAACGGTTCGCTTGGGAATGCAAAGCATTATCTGTAACCGCTCCAAGAAATTCACACCTTCATCACTAAGTTTTCCGTCTGAAATTGCTTGTTGAAGCTTCTGCCTATATATTTCTGCAGTCCAAATAGAAAAACAAATTATAATATCATACATATAGATACATACATCGTTACTTACTTTTATGAGGAACTAAAAAATTCATTTTTGGCAATGCTTTAGCTTTGGGTAAATAATAGACTACAATATAATGTCACATTGAATTCACACATTCTTTTTTTCCCTATCCCAAAGATAAACTTCACATTCCTCCCATTTTCTTTTAAAAAAAGAATTAAGCCGCTCACGAAATTTCTTCCATCTAATATCTAAATACGATGTGGCACATTTAGGGTATGATTTGATCCCAGAAAATACTTGGGAAAGGAACAAAATGCCGAGAAAAGATACTTTCATTAGTATCATGTGTTTTTGTTTTTCCATGGAAAATGTTCTGATTTCTTTGAAAAAGATACATTTTTAGAAAAATGAAATACTCCCTCAATCGACCATAAAACTGCAAACTTTGCTGATGATAATGCCTGGCAACTGGCAAGGTGGACTCTAGATTATGGCAGATTTGCTGGAATTCACTTGCAGAATAATCACATTAGATTACCTTCATGCATCTCACTTGCTTTCTGTGGATGAAAGCGCAATTCCTCACAAAGATTTTGAAGGTAGACTGCTTTACTGTCAGCAGCTGCCAAATCACCTGTAGGTACAGCCTGAGCAAGTTGTTTAGGATACACTTTTGAAGTGAACATCTAATGTAATTGCCCCAGCTTCTCTTTTGCCTAAACCAAATATATTCCTCAAATGATTCAGTGCTGCAAACTGCAAAAATCATAAACAGACGACACCTGGTGAAATCCAGTGGTGGGTTGAATCTTCTCTCTAGTATTTTTGCATTATGCATTTTTGTCTCATCTCTCATCTTTATCAAACATGTCCAATTGTGTGCATGTGTGCAACTTCATATTGTTAGCTATTGCACAGAACACCATTTCAATTGAAACTTTCTGGATGAAAATGTTCTTCACTGATATCTCTTATCTGCCTCTGGATGCATGCCCTCTGATTTCAAGAATGTGCTTCTACCCACAGGTCTAAGCCCTAGAGATATACGAAGTATTGATCCTGCATAATTCCATGCCGACTTTACTGGTATGGGATTAGCAGATTGTTTTGCTGTTTATTATCAAGGTTTATCCTATTTCTGTACATCACTTTCTGAATGTTCACTTGTTATGTTTTCTGTTTTTCTTCTTCTGAAGTCTGGAGAATTAAGTCGAGTGAAAAGATGCTATATTTGTAGGGACGAAAAACATATCTACAAAAGACAATAAAAATGTAAGCAAACAGCATAAATATCACACATACCACTCCTTTCTGTTTTCTCTTCCTTAGAAGTGCCACCGCAGGGACGTTCTCATACACTTCTGCTTCACCAAACTCTCCAATAACAGAGGAAAATATATCATCCACTGTTTTTTGGAAAAGGTTTTCACGTAAGCTCACAGAGATCATAGTGTTGATATCAATCCCAGCCTCTTCACGTAAGCCACGATGCACGCTGATGATCTCCCGTTCGGTGGTGATTTGGCCACCGAAAGGAATCATGGTAACGTCTCCAGATAGACAATACTGCAAGTATGTTTTGTACAGTTCAGTTCTGTCCATATCCGGAAGATCACCTTTAAGGGTTATCTCGGTTTGGATGCCTTTTCTTAATTTTGGAAGGGATTGCAGAGAGTCCCATTCCTCTTCCTCATGTTGTAGCTTCTCTTCATCCTCATCGTTCATCGGATGCTTCTCATGTGTAGATTTTGATGATGATTCTTCTTCCCCCTTAATATCTTGAACCAATCGAGTGACAATCAAGCTATTGAATGATATCAACTCTTTCAATATTTTTGCAGATTCAGTGCGGTTTTCAGCTGCTTGGGCCTGCTGAACATACTTTATCAACATTTTCCGGACCTGCACATCATCCAATATGAGGGCACAGTTAGAAAATATTTTTTTTAAGACTCAACATCGTTGCAATAGAAGTTCAAGCCCAAAACATTTTAGGGAACATCTTACTTTTAGGGTCACTTCGGTCCCAGATTACATGATATCTACAATCGGGACTCAAAGCATACCTTTAAGTCTTTAACTACACGGTGACATCCAGCATGTTGTTTTCATATAGTAGGAAACCATAGGCAAACTCATTAGATACTTACTTCTTTACTAGCAATTGTTAACGCAGCCTCTTTAGTTAAGTGTAAGCCATAAGCTGCCTTTCTAACAGATTTCTTCACTTCAGAATCAGACAATTCCACTCCTCCTGCAATTGCTTCCTTCACCACCTGGGGAAAACATTTGACAGGCAGTCACACAAATAAGCTCAAATGAACAAATGCAAAATTATACTGTATATGATTACAAAGCAGGAGGTAACATATTATATAATAAATATTTTTGTGAAAAGAACACAGACAGAAGCACCTATGAAAAGAACTGATATCAACATCTTATTTTATTTGCATTACATATTAACTTGTTCAGTAAAAACTCTAAATCTGGAGCGAATAATGTTTACATTTTCAAATAAAACGCCGCAGATTTCAGCATGCACTGTTTCAACGGTTCGCTTGGGAATGCAAAGCATTATCTGTAACCGCTCCAAGAAATTCACACCTTCATCACTAAGTTTTCCGTCTGAAATTGCTTGTTGAAGCTTCTGCCTATATATTTCTGCAGTCCAAATAGAAAAACAAATTATAATATCATACATATAGATACATACATCGTTACTTACTTTTATGAGGAACTAAAAAATTCATTTTTGGCAATGCTTTAGCTTTGGGTAAATAATAGACTACAATATAATGTCACATTGAATTCACACATTCTTTTTTTCCCTATCCCAAAGATAAACTTCACATTCCTCCCATTTTCTTTTAAAAAAAGAATTAAGCCGCTCACGAAATTTCTTCCATCTAATATCTAAATACGATGTGGCACATTTAGGGTATGATTTGATCCCAGAAAATACTTGGGAAAGGAACAAAATGCCGAGAAAAGATACTTTCATTAGTATCATGTGTTTTTGTTTTTCCATGGANGCAGTCCAAATAGAAAAACAAATTATAATAGCATACATATAGATACATACATCGCTACTTACTTTTATGAGGAACTCGCTTTCTGGGGCTTTTCTACCTTCTGACACAGTATCCCCCCTACTCGACTTCCCATAAACAAGATATTCTCCATATTCTCTTTGCTTTCCTGAATGCAATTCAACTCTAATCTTATCCCTTCTCTTCCCAGAAAAAGTCTTTTTGCTCCCTAACCCAATATCAGCATCGGATGATCTTCCCTCACTAGAAGAAATTCTCTTCCTTCTCCCACCCGAAGACGGAGATTTGATATGACTATCCCCCATAAACTTTGGCATTTCCTTCCTACCTCTCCTTCCAGTCCCAAACACAGACTCGCCGTTGAACGAGATAACACCACGGTAAAAATGCATCCAAACCCTAGGTATGCTATGTGTATTTAGACATAAACACATATCTTTAGAAGTAAAGAGAAAATGACATAAAGAAAATGAGAAACATACTATAATACGGAGTAAATTAAAACCTTTTCCTTTTGGCTCCGTTCGCCGCCAGCTCTATGCAGCCTCCCGTTTGTAGTCTCAGTACTCAGTAGTGGTAAAACTGTTGTACAGTTTTAGTTTGGGCCAAGACCCTATTTTTAGCAACATAGCATCCTATTTCAACCATGGTAGCATACTATAAAAAAGTGTTGTGGGCTATACATCATTGCTTGAAAAAGACCTTTGCACAATATTGGGCTTCTTTTTAATCAATAACTAACAAAGGGATTTAGCTACTGATTTACTTTGTTGAGAATCCTAGTAGTTGAAGTTTAATATGTGCCATGGTTGAAATAGGATGGTATGTTGCTAAAAATAAGGCCATGGCCCAGACTAAAACTGCACGACAGTCGTACCACTATTGAGTTCTGAGACTACAAACTGGACGCAGCTCTGCACGGAGAGCCACCTCAAAACACACATCTTTACTTGTAAAGATGTGTGTTTATGTCTAAATACACAGAGCATACTTTAGGGTTTCAACACAGGGATGCGGCCAAATATTAACGTGTCAAATATTTCCCAGGCTATACATCTAGGCTTTGTTCTTTTAGGCTGAAATTTCTGAGTTGAATATTAGAAAAATATAATAGGAGTTGTAAGCCTAAGAAACTAGAAAGAATTGAATAAAGTTAGGAGTTGAAAAATGTTGGTAGAATTTTAGTGTTAAAAAGTCACTCAATTAAATGATCACCCAAATACACATATAAGAAAACTTTAGTTTTTGATAAAAAGACTTCATTGTTTGTGTTTGATGTGGTGTGTTATAAATTTGAATATGTAATGTTATTTTTTTTAATTTATTATAATAAATACAATTTTTAGTCGTTGTTAGAAGAAACTAGAAGAAGTTGAAATTGGAAAAAGTTGAAAGTTAATTTTTCTAACCCAAAAGAACAGAGCTTAAATGGGTTATTAATTCATTGCTCACAAGCTCTTCAAATTAGATTTTAGAGTGTTTCTATGGTGCACCTTGGATGCATATCATTTTTGTAGACTCTCACAATTTTTTCTAAATTTTTATCAAAAAATAAATGTTTATTTAAATAGTAAGTATATAGTTATTTTGTTCATAGTTAAGTCAATGGTGGACTTTAGGTTCACCATAGAATTTGCCTAAATTTAAAGTATTAAACACTCTTCCTTTCCACTACTTTTGGGACAAGGAGTGACACAAAAATGATGAAAAGTAAATATTTGTTTTTAATATTGATGTTAACAAGTAAGATAAAGTAAGAATCGTTGTAAACAATGGGAGTAGAAGATAGGAAAAAATATAAATGTTAATTTTTTTGTTAAATAATGAAAAAATCATTTTTGAGATGGAGTAATTGATTATTGTCAATGCCCGTGTACATATAGATCATATGTAGATTGTCTCAAATAGGGGTTCACCTTAGAATGACTAGCTCTATCCAATGATGATATTCATTCAAATTTGGGTATATCTATGACATTTTTCGTACACAACTTCAAAAATTAAGCTATTTTTACACACAAAAAAAAACTATACTCTAAATTGTACACCACATGTGTATACCTTCATTTTCTGCCAGTGTGATCTGCAAAATTTTTTGATCGTATTCTGTGTCAGTGTAGATCGCAACAAATCGCCCTTCACTAGAAAGTGGAAATGGAGAGGCAACAAACGCAATGGGACGATTAGAAAAAACCTGCAGCAGAAAAGAAGCGTGTTTCTTCACCGGCATTACGTTGGAAGAAAAGTTTTGTCAGCATGGAACCAAGTCAATCTAACCAATGCCAAACATCGCATCAACAAGAAGAACGTCGACAATTACAAACCTCGGAAAACTCAGATTATCCATCATGTTATCACTTCAGATAGAGCATGAGGGAGCTGTCCGTTTTTTGCGGTCCACAAAGCGATACTCTCTGGTTTCTATAGAGTAGTTTCTGTTCACAAATCACAGGATACTATATGCTCATACAATCATATCATTGTATGTTTGGGTCTGAATCTTCAAAGTAATGTTGAGTGTGATGCTTGGGATATAGAGAAGGGGAATCTGATCAAAGAAAACAAGGTAATAAGCTTACTGCCATTTATCATGCATATATAAAGAACACTGGAAATATGAAATGAAGCAACACGCAATAAAATCAAAGACCACACAACATTAACAAAATAAACCTCAATGACCTACTCTCTCAAGTAAGCTACACTATATGCACACCATATATTACCTCTCTGGTGAATGAACAACAAACGAAACCGACAAAAGTATCTTCCCGCGGCATCTTCTGGGATCTAATCATACCCCAGATGTGCCACATGGTATTTTAAAATTAGAAGAAATTTTGTGAGACTCTTATTTCATTCCCTAAGGTTGAAGAAATTTGAAAGGGGAAAAAAAAGAAAATGAAGTTGAAAGTACTTTTTGTTGTTTGGTAAGAGAAGAAAAGAAAATGAGAAGGCAAAATGTGCTAAGTGGAAGGAAAACCAAACTTGTTCTATTTTGGTGAGAAAAATGAGAGCAAATCATTTTCTTTTCCTTCCAAATTCATTGAACCAAACATAGTGCAAAAGAAAACGGGATATATATAGGCAGACACAGTCCGAGATGGTCTAGTCTATAAAGGCCAAGTAGCCTTTGAATCCATCCCCAATGACTTTACTAGAGGTAGACAGAGTCCGAGATGGTTTGGTAGTTTTAAAAAATCTATACCATGCTGTTACCTATTCAAAAAGTTTGTTACAATTTCAATTTTACGTCTCACCCATTTATAACCATGTCGTTCGGAAACAGAATGGTACCACAAGATGTTTTCCTACACACAAAAAGATGATTGAAGTGAATATAAAACGTGGATGTAAAAAACATTTTTGAAAGAAAACGCTTTGGACATCAGAGGTGTTTCTCTATGCTAATGCTTATAGGTTTATTGTAAATAAGTAATTTTAACTTATACGAAGTAAGTTGCTTATAAGTTAAAAATTCTTTCGTTGAAGAAAAACTATAACACTACCTGATTTATAAGTTAAAACAACTTATAGGTAGCTTTGACAAGCTTATAAGACCATGTATTATGCCAGACCTGACGGCGAGTAAAGAGCTATGGCGTAGAATGATGAAAATGTGTGTTGTGGTGAGTGTAATGCAAAGTGATGAAATATGAAGATTTGTTAAATTTTAATTGGTCTCAAATGAAAAAAATAAAAAACGAAGAAAGAGGGACAACGCATATAACCACCATTAAGCCCCCTTTTTGCATCTGGCACACCGGCATTGTTGCAGTGGTCATGACGTGATGAAGCATGACGTCTCCGTCACGGCTGTGGATCAAGCCCCATAACGGATGATCTAAGCAGCAAAAAAACACCCACATCAATACATCATTGTTATATTTTTGCTTGGAGAAGGGTAATGAAAAATACTTGAGCAAAATGCCGCTATTAAACTTCAACGAGCAAAACTCTGTACTAAATCGAACACTACTGAGCAGGGACAGCCACTAGAAAAGGTATGTTTCTAAAGATATGTGTTAGAAATTAGCATCAACATTTTGAAAAAGCTGTCTACGAATAACATTTAGGGTTAGCATTTTCAAATTAATCTATCCATTAAAATTTTATCTTAAATATTAACGCTAATCTCTAACACTAATCCCAAACAGGCCTATTATTGCTTGAAAAAGACCTTTGCACAATATTGGGCTTCTTTTTAATCAATAACTAACAAAGGGATTTACCTACTGATTTACTTTATTGAGAATCCTAGTAGTTAAAGTTAAATATGGGCCATGGTTGAAATGGAATGCTATGTTGCTAAAAATATGGCCTTGGCCCAGACTAAAACGACAGTCGTACCACTACTGAGTACTGAGACTACAAACCGAACGGAGCTCTGCAAGAAGAGCCACCGCAAAACACCACACTGACTGCGGTGAACGGTTTGTGTTTATATAGTATGTTTCTCAGTTAATTTACTATAGTATGTTTTTCATTTTCTCTATGTCATCTTCTCTTTACTTCTAAAGATATGTGTTTATGTCTAAATATAAATACACAGAGCATACTTTAAGGTTTCAACACATAGGGCTGATGTATAGCCTTGATATATAGCCCACAATACTTTTTTATAATGAAAAATGTAAAAAAAGAGAGAGAAAAAATTAAAAGAAGAATAAAACATTGAAAATGTATCAAAATAAAATTTTCATGTTTTTATTTCCGAAATAAAAGTTAAAATGGATATACAGTGTCAATCATGGTCATATACATTACCAAAATATATTATGAAATATCTACATACATTATCGCATTACCACAATATAAACTCTTATTGTAGGTATAGAACATGAATCTCTTATTTTGGGACTTTCTCTTTGTTTATTCCTATTTAGGATGATTTCATAATATAGAATGCAATTAGACACAAAAAAGGATTAAGAAAACGTCCTCAAAACTACTTTAAAAGAAAAGTGAACAAATATTTTGACAAAAAGTATATATACCTTTGTGAACTACATGAACAAAGAAAGATGTGACCACATATACAGGTACATGCAAGCAAGCTTAGGTAACCAATAATTTGGGGGCACATAACTAATTCTTTTACCTATCAATTTTTTCCCTAGATTAGCTAAATTAGAACATTGCATTTCAAGAGTTAATTTTATTAAGCTAGGGGTACACCAACATGGGGTACTCCAAGTGTACACCAAAGCCAACACAGACACACACAGACACAAAGTGTCTGTGTTGCACAAACATTTTGTGTCTGTGTGTGTCTGTGGTGGCTTGGTGTACACTTGGGGTACCCCATGTTGGTGTACCCCTAGCATTGCCCTTTCTTTTATTGTGGTTTAATTTGGTGCAGAGTATGTGGGGCATGCAGTCCCTATAATACATAACACATAGGGATGCGTGAATGCAATGCTACCAAAATTGTGGAAACCAATGCTTATGATATGGTCCACCCTCCATGTATGAGAGGATTTCTTTAATTTGTACTTTTATTTCTATACCAGTTTATGTGAAAAATGTTTTTTTAAAAAGATGAGATTTTACATATTATTTGTAGTGAGACAAGAATTTTGAGATGAGATGTACTCCCTCCGTCCTCCATAGATTTTCCCAATAGTCCTTTTTCGTTGTCCACAATAGATCTTCTCATTTCATTTTTTAACAATTAAAATACCATAACTACCTCTACTTACTTTATTTATTACACTTCACCCACCTCATTTAATAAACTTCACCCATTTTCACTAAGCGTATTATGGTAAACTTTCATCTTTTTCAACTCTTCTTAAAAACCACAAAAAGTCAAAATGAGAAGATCTTAGGGGGCAGAGGGAGTATAATTTTAAAAGTTTTGAGGTCCCTTTGATGATGGACCTTGAAAGATTGCCCATCTGACCTGCCCCATGGGCTAATTTTATACGGAGTGCCATATTTTCAGGGTTAGTATATGCGTTATTGGGTTGGGCCTCCACTCACCCCATTACTCAGCTTCTAGTATTTCATACCGAGTAATTTAATGAAAATTTTGTTCCATATAAGACTAAGGGCTCTTTGCCAACTTCTGAATAGGTAAGAGGTCTGAACCAGTAAAAGGTCTGAATCATTAAGAGCTAGTATATTACTTAACTATTCAGATGCAAATGTATGATCAATTCAGATAAGAGGTCTTAACCATTCAGACTATGTATAATAATACTTAACCATTCAGAGGCAAATGTCTGAACCATGAAGAGGCTGAACAGTCTAAACCATTAAGTGTTGAACCATTAAGAGGCTGAAACAAACATCCCCTAAGAGATACTAGATTTCTCTAAATAAGACCATGTATGTTTTATTCCCTTTATGACACATAATTTTATATGATTTGTACAAAAGATGTACAAAAGGAGTATTTAACTTAAAAATGGAAAAAAATAATATCAATACTTCAAAAATTGCACAGTTTTACATAAGTATTTTGATATTCAAAAAAATGACACAGATACTCCTATAACTTTCATACGTTCGCAATTTACATATCAGTTCTTCCAGAATTAATATCTATTACTCCCTCTGTTTACCATAGATCTTCCCAGTCACTATTCATGGGGTCAAACTTTACTCACTCTGTTTGCTAATTTTTACTAGTCATTTCATAAAATAATAGTCTTATCACCTCTAGTTTTGTAGAACTTTTCATATAGTTTATTACTATATAAATTTTATTTTAAAATTTTACTCCTATAATCAATTAAATTGAATTAAAAATAAAGTCGGTAAAACCTCGTAACGCGTAATGGGAAAATTTTAGGTGGACGGAGGGAGTATATCTTTGTTGGTGCACCAACTTAAACTTATTAAAATCTTGGAAGCATCAATGCCATTTATTAAATCTCAGAGTATTTATATAAAATTAAAAAATTTTGAAAATAATAGTGTGAATTTTTCTTTAAAATTTACATAAAAATTCAACTAACCCAATGATGACCTAACTATGTAATTATAACAAATACGGAGTAATCAATAAAAATATGTTTTAAAAGAAATATAATTTGACAATCTGCCTTAAAAAATTGGAATTGCTTGTTTTCAAATTAGGTTTCACATGCATTCGTAGCTTGTTTAAAATTTAAATAAAGCACTAAACGCTTAGATCATTTTTTCCGTGCTATTACTGTAAAAAAAACACATGGTCAAAGATTCGTGTACATAAGCACGCCGTCTCTCTGTGTATCTGTATGTAGGGGTGGACACGGTACGGTTCCGGGACGGTTCCGGTTCCGGTACCGCCACCCCTTAGTACCGGTACCGGTACCGGACCGGCCGGTACCGGTTCCAGTACCGCCGGTACCGTTTCGGTCACCCCTAATTTTGTTTTTTTTTTGCTTTTTTATTATATTTTTAAAATGTAAAATTGTAAATGTGTAATTGTTAAAGGAAATTA